CAGCTGCGCGGCTCCCTCCCCACATCCCCTTCTCCCATGAGGGACATAAAGAGGGAATTAGATTTTCAGACCACCTTTCCATAAAACAATGGATGATGAGACAGAGGGAATTGATGTGAAGATTGCTCTGCTATTTTGGACGTAACAAAACCAAACATAAAAACCATGGCATAGCATCTTCAATGCTCTTTCTCATACTCCCAAATGCTGATACATACACAGATCACGATTTGGCTAAAAGGGGCCAGCAGTGGAGAACATGAAGCCCCTGGGGAAGAGAATCTACTCCATAGCCCCTTTCAGGTCGTGTGCTGGGAATGTATCTGGTTTGAACCTGAACAACATAGCTTCCCCTGCTCTACAATCTAGGACACGCATGCATTAGCGCTTGGACTGGGGCTTGAATTGCAAATTTGATTTTTGTTGTTCATATTATGAAAGCTACTCCAGATGCTTGGGAAACATTAAGGTTTGGCCGGCTAGGGAACAGAAATATTGCCATTATACCTATCTGTGTCTTGAAGACTCAGGAAGCATTCTGTCCCCATGGCAGTCGTGACTGAATTTTAAAAATAGTAAAGCTGAGGCTTAGTGAGTGCTGACTGGGTTCCACGTGCAGAATTATGTGTTTGCACATTATCTGCTATGAACTCACCCTCACGGTAACTCTGTGAGCTAGTGCTGCTAACCCGTTGGGGAACCCATGAAACCAAACTTGGGACAATTTATAGACATTTCTCCAAACTCATCCTTTGAGTGTCAGCCGGGGGCTGCCGGGGGCTGCCAGGGGCTCGGAAGCAAGCAGAACAGAGAGCCTTGGGCGTGGCCCGTCTGGCCCACAGCCATGCGTTGCTGAGTACGCATGCTCTTCTGGTGCACAGGAAGGGGGTCTTCAGCCATCATACTCACTCCCGGGCCTGGCTCTTATTTCTATAATGCTGGGCTCCGGTGTTTCGCCTACTTAACTCCTTAGAGGTGAGTGGGTTCTCAAGCAGACCTCTTGGCCTTTGGAGGCTTGGCCGCCTCTGTTTTATAGGGGAGGGGGGGGGACAAGTAGAGTGTCTTTATTTATCAGTCCTGTTCATTCATGACATGACCCAGAACATAATCGTGGACCTGTGGTTCTAAAATAACATCAGATTCGTTTTTTTAAAGACAAGCACTCATTTTCTGAAGCTTAACATCACTTCAGGAGGTGCCCGGGCCTCGTTTCTGTAGGCCTTTAAGCTGTGATACTTGAATCTGTCACCGTGTTTGGAGCTACATACATTCACGCACCTGTCACACTGATGATCCGAACCATGGTTTCCTGGTTTGTTCCATAAATAACGTTATTTTCTAGCAGTGTTCCCCTAACATGATGGATTGAGGCATCATTTTCTTTGAAGTCAAGTTCTGATGTGTCCCAGTTAGGTCCCCGTTTTCAGCTGTTTAAGAGCCTCAACTGAGTGATTATGATGGGCTCTGGTTTGTAATTAAAACTAAGATTTGGGGAAAGGGATTAGATAGGAGTTTGGCTCCAGGTTCCCTTTGACTCTGCTTACTTTAAAAGAAGGGCGTTCTCTGCTTCCAAGAAAGCGTGTACTCCTTAAAACTCACATCACCAGATCGGTGTTTCTCTCCACGGGGCTCCTCTAAAGCCGTGTCAACTTCACAGATTCAGTTCACAGGGAATCAACACCTCTCACCTACAGGATCTCTAAAATACAGTGTCTCTGCCAAGTGCGGGGTACCCAGGTAGAGGAACCGTTCTGACGTCACCAGCATCACTTAGGCCCTCGGCCTTCGCCTGTGCTTATGCAGCCCAGTGGGAAACTTACAAAGGGAAGACCTTCACCCACATAACAGGCGTCTCCCCAGCTCCCACTCTGTGGACACTCTTTGACCAGAGCCACAGGCATATCCCTTTCTGGCAGAAAGAAAGGTGCAAAGACATGAACTGGGTATAAAACTAATAAACTATTCATAGAGTTAACACTCTCTGGAGCAAGAGAGTGTCCCTTCTGTCCCAGGAAAGAAGACTCTCAATCAGAAATTCCTCATGGCCACCAGGCTGGCTTCTGTGGTCATTCAGACGCACTGGTCTCATCTCTGAATGAGACAGCAGCATTTTTCCCTCATTTTGCAGCTACTTATTAACTGTTGCGAAGAACCTGACCACTGCAGATACCAGGAAACAAGTCAGCCATGGTCCCTAACTTCTCGGCACAAAGTATGATCAATGGGGAAGTATAGATGGCTTGGAAAACCTTCTTCGGATTAATCCAGTTCAGTGTGTGTAGGTTGGGGTGGGAGAGGGAGGGATCAGCAACTCCCACAACTCAGTAAGGGGGATCTGAACTCTGATGTGAAACATAAGCAGCTATTGGACAGGGGAGTCGGGGGGAGAGGGAGTATTAACCAAGGAAAGGGAGTATTGACCTGGGAAAGGGAGTATTAACCAGGGAAAGGGAGTATTAACCAGGGCAAGAGGAGGGAAGGGAGATTTTTTCCAAGCTAAGAAAACATTATTTTTCCTGGAGACAGAAGGAAGCTTGACACAGTTAGGGAACTTTAGGAGGCTGAAGAAGGCTGGGGTGCAGTTCAGTGCGCAGTGCTTGGCTAGCATGAGCAAGGCCTCCTGGGTTTGATCCCTACTTCACACACACACACACACACACACACACACACACACACACACACACACACACTCACTTTTAAAAAGAGTTTTAGGAGAATTGATAGCGGATTGCGGACACTGGATAAGTGTGGGGAGAACGGAGAAGGTAGGCTAGGAAGATGTAAAGACGACAGCTGAGCTTTTCGTCTGATCACTTCCGGCTTGTGAGCAGGAGCCAGGCACAGTGTACAGAACAGACAGGAGAGGGCTAAACAATGAATTTCCGGAAGAACAGGTAAAGGAGGGGACGGGTCACCCAGAGATGGTCCCCTGGTCTGGACAGTGACAGTATGGATGGACGTGAGATGAGCATGTCAGTGTACAGTGCTCACACCTCTGGCCTAGGTAACTGTGTGGATGCAGAGATGGGGAAGAGGTGAGGATCGGATTGAGTTTTAGATGCTCCTTAACTGTCTGAGAAAGTTGGAGTTAGTGGGGCTCAGCAGAGACGGCGCTGGCTACACTGTTTGGAACCATCAGCCTAGGGAAGATGGTCGAGGATGTTGTAGTCGAGGGAAATGCCCAGAACATCATATACACGAGCAGAAGAAAAAAAAAAAATTAAGGAACGTAGAAGAATTCCATCATTTACAACAAAGAATGCATGGTAGTGAGAAAGAGGAAATCTCACCAAGTCTGAAGTCACAGGAGATGATGGAAACACACCAAGCATCCGATGGAGCTGCAAATCAGAACAATTAGGAGACAAGCGCAAGTTTTCGACTATGTACAATATTAACCTTCATTGTCTGCCATTTGGCAATGCATGAAATCCATATTCATAAGACGTTTGTGCTGCTCTGGTCACTCCGGCAAGAAAATGGAACCAACCTAGTTGTCCATCAACAGATAAATAGATAATGAAATTCTGATATATATATATATATATATATATATATATATATATATATATATATATATATATATGGAATACTATCTAGATCCAAAGAAAAAAAATGAAACCACAAAACTAGCAGGAAAATGGACTTGGAAAGTGTAAAACCGGGGCTGAAGAGATGGCTCAGTGGTTTTTGAAGAGCACTGGCTGCTCTTCCAAAGGACCTGGGTTCAATTCCCAGCACCCACATGGTGGCTCACAACTGTCCATAACTCCAGTTCCAGGGCATCTGGCATTCTCACACAGACACACATGCAGGCAAAATACCAATGTACACAAAATAAATAAATAAATCTTTTTTAAAAAGATTTCTTTTAAAAAAGAAAGTATAAAACCCGTTCTCAGGAAGAAGATTGCATGTTTTTCCTCACATGAGAATCTATTCTATAATATATATGTGTGTGTGTGTGTGTAAAGAAATGTATGTGTGAGTATAGTATAAATGTAGTAAGAACAGGAAAGGCTACTATTTGGTGACTGAGGAGGAACAGAATTCAGGTGAAGTCACAAAAGGATATAAAACTAATTGTTTTTCTAATTTTGACTTTCTTCCTGATTTTTCAATTACTTGTGGTGGATAAGTGCATAATGATGTAACTGATAATGAAATCATAAAATCCAAAGACAAGTTCCATGGCTTCCAATTGGCTGCTCTAACTGAGTAGTTCATTGAGGTCTGTAGACTTGGGTTTTGGCAGATGCTATGTTAATCTCTCCGTGTGTGTTTTTTCAGTTTGTAAGTTCATTACAATAAACTGATTTTTAAGAAAGACATTGATAAGTGTTCTTCAAAATATTGTTGATTTAATTCCTTGATGGTTTCGATTACGGGGGTGTGGCGAGAATTGAGGATAGACATCTTTTACAAGAACGATGTGTTTTAGTCCGCATCTCAAGTGTGGACTAAATTTGGAAACTGCTCACAGGTGACCCTTCCCTGTGACCTTTACCCTGCGTATCTCTCGGCTCTCTGAACTCTGCTTTTAGATGAAGCCTTTTCTCACAGATTTTGAATCATGGTGTCGCCTGATTTTGAAACTACGAGCATCCTTTCCTTTTGGTGTGTTATACAGCACTTAAAATGTAGTTCATGGGCTAAGGAGATTCTTCATTCTAGTATCTGAGTTCTATTCCAAAAGCCTATGAACAGCAACCAGAAAATTCCGGCACATGTCTACCTGGAATCCCAGCACTGAGGAAGCAAGTGGGTAGGTCCCCGGGGCTCACTGGCCAGCCTCACCTCATGGGGGTGCTCCGGGCCAATGACACACCCTGTCTCAAAACAGGGTGGACAGTGCCCAAGGTCCACACACTTGTGCACACAGGTGTGCGTGCGTATACATGAACATGCCTACGCGCAAAGGTAGTTCACCACAATGCACATCACGATGGTTAAGAGTTCGATATGAGTTTAAGCCATCTTCTCTCTCATTTCTCTTCCAGCTCCAAGAGACTGTGAAAAGGAAGCTGGAAGGGGCCCGATCACCACTTAATGGGGACCAGCAGAATGGGGCTTGCGATGGGAGCTTCTCTCCCACAAGCAAGCGCATCAGAAAGGACCTCACCACGGGGATGGAAGCCATCAACAGTTTGCCCAACAACCTGCCGCCGCCTTCAGCTTCACCCCTTCACCAGCTTGACCTCAAGCCTTCTTTGCCCTTGCAGAACAGCGCTGCTCACACTCCTGGGCTGCTAGAGGATCTGGGTAAGAATGGCAGGCTCCCTGAGATTAAACTCCCTGTCAATGGCTGTGGGGATCTGGAGGATAGCTTTGCTATATTGCAGAGCAAGGACCTCAAACAGGAGCCTCTTGATGACCCCGCCTGCATAGACACATCCGAAACGTCACTTTCTAATCAGAACAAGCTGTTCTCTGACATTAACCTGAATGACCAAGAGTGGCAGGAACTAATAGACGAGCTGGCCAACACGGTTCCGGAAGATGACATCCAGGACCTGTTCAATGAAGACTTCGAAGAGAAGAAGGATCAGGAATTCTCACAGACGACCATGGAGACCCCACTCTCCCATGAGAGTGCGAGTGTGAAGAGCGATGCCTCTCATTCTCCTTTTGCACACATCTCTATGGGGTCGCCCCAAACCAGACCTTCATCTTCTGGTCCCCCCTTTTCTACTGTCTCCACAGCCACTAGCTTGCCATCTGTGGCCAACACCCCTGTGGCTCCAAACCCTGCCAGCTCGCCAGCTAACTGTGCTGTCCAGTCCCCCCAGACTCCAAACCAAGCCCACACTCCAAACCAAGCCCCCCCTCGACCTGGCAACGGCTATCTCCTTAATCCAGTCTCGGTGACGGTGACGGGGTCAGGATCGGGCTCCGTGGCAGTGCCCAGCTCTGACATGTCCCCAGCAGAGCAGCTCAAGCAGATGGCTGCCCAGCAACAACAGAGGGCCAAACTCATGCAGCAGAAGCAGCAGCAACAGCAGCAGCAGCAGCAGCAGCAACAGCAGCAGCAGCAGCCCCACTCAAATCAGACTTCAAATTGGTCTCCCTTAGGGCCTCCGTCAAGTCCATATGGAGCAGCTTTTACTGCAGAAAAACCAAATAGCCCAATGATGTACCCCCAAGCCTTTAACAACCAAAACACTATAGTGCCTGCAATGGCCAACAGCCTGCAGAAGACGACCATCAACAACTACCTCCCTTCGAATCACATGAACATGATCAGTCAGCAGCCAAATAACTTGGGTACAAACTCCTTAAACAAACAGCACAATATTCTCACCTATGGCAACACTAAGCCTCTGACCCATTTCAATGCGGACTTGAGTTCAAGAATGACGCCCCCCATGGCCAACCCCAACAAAAACCCCTTGATACCCTACATCCAGCAGCAGCCTCCGCAGCCCCAGCCGCCACCACAGCCGCAGCCTCCCCAGCAGCAGCCTCCGCCTCCACCACCGCTCCAGGCTCCCAGAGCGCACCTGAGTGAGGACCAGAAACGCATGCTTCTCATTAAGCAGAAAGGAGTGATGAATCCGCCCATGGCCTATGCTGCGCTTCCAGCCCACGGTCAGGTAAGTGGGAAGTGGCGCCCAGTGGGAGCCGTTCTTACCTGTGTACCAGGCTGTCCCGTGCGTATCATGGGCACCAGGCTAGGCCTGGAGTGGAGCCTGAAAATCGGCAGAAATCCTGCCCTGTGCATCCTTGTGCGGTTTCCTCGCAGAGTTGGAGAAAGAGTGGCCCGGTAAACCTTTCTTGTACACGAATCCCTCCTATTCCTCCTATTCTTGACTGCAGCCAAGAAAAATTTAAATACATCCAATTTTCACTGTGAGGAAAGCAGGCGGCAGAAGTCACATGACCCAGTATGGCATCCCTCTATAGTTTTTCTTCCGGTTCATTAGCCAAAGGGTGATAGGAAAGCAGGGGTGCTTAGGCCTAGCTAACACCGTTTTATACCACCTGGACGAACTGTCAGCTGTCTTAACGGGCTATGAGTGATGGGAAATATGGACTCTTGGCCTTTAAAAATCAGAGTGTTTTTGTATTTTCAGAGTGAAGTGGGAGAGTGCGTCTTGTAGGACTGTTTAACGTCTAAACATTTGCCATTTTGCCAGCAACAGTTAGACATCTTGATCAAATGACTTAGGAGTATAAGCATTCCTGTCCTTGGCATTTGGTTTGATTTCAGCAAGACTTGCTAGTGAATTCATGGGGTGTGTGTGTGTGTGTGTGTAGGGGGGTGTCTCTTTACTTTCAGTTGCTATCTGTGCACCCCTCCTTGTGGAATACAGACAATGTCCTCTAGGTAGATACCTGGAAACTTTGCATCTTGTGACTCCCGCTTGTGACCCCCATTCTCTACCCGCAACCCCCAGGTTGATGGAATCTCCAAGGCTGGAGGTGGTGCTGGCCAGCATAGACAGGCCTGAGCTCTGCGACTTCATTCTTACCCTTCACAGACGTCCAACTCCCAAACCTCAGAGGGCTTTCTCGCCTCCACATGCCCGCTAGATTTAAAGAAGTCCTGTCTGAATAAATAAAAGTGTTGGCTTGATTTTACATCAGCTGCAATCGGGAGCTAGTAGGAAACGTCTTTGAAATGTGGACTTTGATATTTTATAATGATTTCATTAAAATATAGAAATATATATCAATGGAAATGCAGCCTTTTATACACTTTACCAGGAAGTTCAGAAGCAAGCAAAAATAGAGGCCATAAGCAAGGGTGCTTGTGGGAGCCCAGATGCGTCACGAGGTTTATGAGATTGCGTACTGTCAAATGACCCATTGTTAATCTTAATACAAATTATGCTTCTACTCAGGCTGTTTTTATGCGGGCATTTCTTCCGAGCCAGACCAAAGATGATTAATTCCAACTTGCAGGTTCTGTAGACATATGGGTGAGATGATACCCCTCTGTCCTCCGAGACCCTCACTAACACCTTTCTGCGTGTGCTAACTAGAAGCAAAGTCTTTGCTGGAACACGGTTGTTGTTGTTGTTGTTGTTGTTTTTAAGGGGTCCTTTGGGATCCTGATGTTTGCAAGTGGGTCCCTGAGACCTTTAGCTGCAGGGGTCATGTTTTGAAAGGGCTCAGTCAGCTGAAGCAGCGTCTGGATTCAATCTGCATGGAGGGTCCCTTCCATCTCAGAAGAGGTGCCTTCAGAATAGACAGAATCTTCCCTGGCAAGGGCTCACCAGAACAATTGCTTCTGAGCATAGAGCACAGGAAGGCAGAAGTAGCAGCTTTTCTAATGAAATAGTAACTGCCTACCATTTCAAACAAGTTTCAAGATGCTTATATAAGCGTGTGAGTGTCTCTCTACAAACAAACCGTTTCAGATGTTTAGCTGGTTGTGAATGGGTATTTTCATAGCTATCGATGTAGTTAGTCATTCATGCTGTGTGCAGGCACAGGGCACACACAGACTGGCATGGGTTATACAAGACACCAGATGTTAGTCCATGCTGTCTTCTGCGGTGTCAGTACCAAAAGACCACGACCAATGCTTAGTTTTATTGACTGGCTTGGGCAATGAAAATAGTTTGATAACATTAGATACACTGATTTCGAGAAAGTTACACAGTTACTCATGTAGGACACCAGTAGGACCAAGGTTTCTCTCCGAAACAAGTTGAAAGGCACTTACTTTCTGGGTGTTTTTTTTTTTAAGAGAAAGGAGAAGAAACAAACCCAGACATGGTGGCTGGAGCATGCCTTTAATCTCAGCAGGTGGATCTCTATGAGTTTGAGTCCAGCCAGGAAAACATAGTGAAACCCTGTCTCAAAACAAACAAACAAACAGACAAAGTTAAAAGATTTTTATAATGACTTTTATCTAGGAAGTCAACTTTGTAGAATTTATATGTCATAATGATCAAATTAAACAAGGAGATTATTAGTTTATTTTTATTTTATACAAGTGAGCGCCTTCCCTGTACGTGAGTCTATGTGCCACATTCATGTAGTGCCTGTGGAGGCCAGAAGAGGGTATCAGTTCCCCTGGGAGTGGAGTTACAGGTGGTTGTAAGCTGCCCTGTGGTTGCTGGGAATGGAACCAGGTCCTCTGGAAGCAGCCAGTGCCCTTAACCACTGAGCCATCTCGACAACTCTTGCCCATTACTTTTAATAGTAAAAAATTGAGACCAACAGAAATATTTTGGATGGGTATATACTAAAAATCAAAGTATGGGATTAGCAAATGATTACACATATGGAAATGCTCCTAATGTTAAAATAAGCAGCTCCCCACACAGTTGATGTGCTGTAGGTAGACCAGCTTGTGCTGCTCAGGAGCCTAGAAAGTTGAGGAGCACCTAAACTCTTAGGAATGGCATTCTGACATATCATTGTTATTTTCCTAGTCTACTGAATATTCCGAATTTTCTCATATACGTATGTTCTTTCTGCCACCAGAAAAAAAAATTTTTAAGTAAGGGAAAAAATCCCTATTTTAAAAGTAAAAGTCGACCTTTTCTTTCTTAGAAATTCAGTTTGAGGCCAAGTGACTTTCAGTTGGGTGAACTCATGCCGTTATTCCCTAGTCATTGGGGTGTATTCGTGGTAAATTCCTGCTCCGGTGGGTAACCCCAGTCAACCCCAGCCTTTCCCCGCCCACGCTCTTCCCTTTTCTTGTTACTTCCTCTTTTCATCCCTTACCAACTTTTCTCTTTCTTGTAAAAAGCTAAAACTTCAGCAATGAAAACATCACTCAAATTTCTGCCATAGTTCTTTGCCCAGTCTGCTCCAGGACATACCCCCGCGTTATTCCTTTGATCTGTCTCTGTCCCTGTGCCTCCCATCTTGTAAAAATAAATTTCTGTGTCCAGTTGTCATAACTGAGCCTCCTGCATTGATGTCTATTTTTTTTAAAATACGTATTTCTGGGATGAACAAGGAGCCCTTACTTTGGACTTGCTTATTCTACTTCCATAATTCTGCTGTTTCTCACAAACAAGATCTCCACCCCCAGATAGTGTTTGCACAGTGCCCAACCCTGTGTCTAAGACTCAAGGCTATTTAATAAGCCATTTGATGAAAATCAGCAACATGTGGGCCAGAGATGTTTTCAGCTGGCTGTGGGCTTCCCTGGAGAACACGCGGGCGTGAGGGACACAGAGCCGCTTTTAGGAACTAGGAGAGGCACTCGCAAAGCCGTCTAAAAGAGCGCCTTTGAGGGGTGCTGGGTGTCTTGAACCCGTGGAGTGCCGGTGAGATTGCTGGGAAGGCAAACTGAACCCCTGACACTGTCAAACAAAAACCAAGGAAGCAGCTATGCCGGAAGGAAACCAAAGCCTGCGGCCCCCAGCTGGCCAAGGGAGGACACAGGCAACCCAGAGCACAAGTATGGTTCCCGCATAGATGGGTGCAGAGCGACAGATTTCCAGAAGGTGATGTTGGCCTCTAGTCCTGGCAATGGCGGACGGGCTACATCGTACATGTGGTACCCGGTTTCATCCGCATGTGGGTCATGTGTGGCTCAGTGCGTGTCGTTAGTGGGTATGCTTTCCACTTTTCCTTTCATTTTTCCTAATGTGTGAGCTCTGCTAGTAGAAACCTGTTACCTATAACAGCTCCACAGGAAGCTCAGGCCTCCAGGATCCACAAGCATCCTGGGAATGTCTTTGAACATCCTTCACTTTACAAGCCTGGAGCCTCTTCCGTCAGTTTCCTTAAATACGTGTTTACTTTTCCCAAGAAACACATGCACCTAGTCCAGACAGTGCCATCAGACTAATGGTAAAAACAAAACAAACAAACAAAAAAACCAAAAAAATGGCAGCAACAACCCTCCCCAACCCCCTCCACAAAGGCAGCCACTTGACTTCACTAAAGTCGTTTTCTTGTTCATCCCCACGGACTGCATTTCTCTATTCTCAACCCTACGCTAAGTTAGAGCACACCCTGCCTTGAAGACCTTTCTTCATGATCCTGTGACATCCATGGCATTGAGAGGCCCGGGGATGTGTGTCTACACCTTCACTCCAAGAGCTTCTTGAATCTTTAAGATTTTGTGACCTTAGTGTGGCTTCTTTCCCTCGTTATGTGTGATGCTATGAAATATATTTATCTGGTGTGTGTGTGTGTGTGTGTGTGTGTGTGTGTGTGTGTGTGTGTGTGTGTGTGGTGCATGCAGAGACATGTCTGCGCATGCTTGGAGGCCAAAGGAGGATGTCCAGTGTCCTGCTATATCACTCTCCCCCTTACTCAGGTGAGGCAGGTTTCTCACTGAACCTGTGATCCCCCTGCCTCTGCCCTCACAGGGCTGGAGTGACAGGCTTGCACAGTCGAGCCCGGACTTTACTCAGTGCCGGGACTTGAACTTGGGTCCTTGGGCAGCCGGCACTCTCGCTCACCACGCCGCTTGCCAATCCCTGATATACGGTACTAAGAAATTTATTTTAGCATCTGATAATGTATGTTCCTAATATATCTGGGGTTGAAGACATTTTTCTTTCTTTTTATTGAACTTTTTGGAACTTCTCTTGCATTGTGAGCTTCCTCGATGGCTCTCTGATTTCTCATTTCTTTTCTATTTTCCATGTCTTTGTCTTCTTATCCCATGTTCTAT